CCGGCGGGTGGGGATCCCGGGCTGCACGATGCGGGTGCGCCTGGGCGCCCTGGCTGGCGCGGCGGCGCTCTCCGGGGCGCTCAGCTTCGTGCTCCTGGCGGCCGCCATCGGCACGGACTTCTGGTACATCATTGACACCGAGCGGCTGGAGCGGAGCGGCCCGGGAGCGCCGGACCGGGCGGGGGGCGCCAACCTCAGCCAGCTCGAACCCCTGAGCTCGCACTCCGGCCTCTGGCGGACCTGCCGGAGTAAGTAAGGGCGGCTGGGGGGAGCGGGCTGAGGCCGCGACCGTCCGGCCAGAGCCTGGCTCTCCCGGGACCCGCGGCTGGGCGCGCACCCGCCCCCAAGCCCTAAAACCCTAAGGGCGCCGTCTGAGGGTGAGGGGTGGTGGGAAAATTGGACAGACGGCGGGGTGCCAAGTGCCCAGCCCAGTCGCTGCTGCTCTAGCTCCTCACCCGCCTCCCCGGTGGGGCTCCCGGGGCGGGCATGGGGGTGGGTGTCGGAGGCGCGCGGGCTGGGGGCCCAACCCCAGCGCCCCCAGCCCAGTGACTCCTCCGCGCCGTCCAGTCCAGAGCCCGTGCGCGCCGCTGATGAACCCCTTCTGGCAGGAGAACGTCACCGTCAGCGACTCCAGCCGACAACTTCTTAGTGAGTCCGCGAAGGTGGGGCTGGGGGGAAGCTGGGTGCGGGCCGCGGTTTTGGGGCTCTTCACCAAGCAGCGGGAGGGCGCCTGGAAGGCGCGCCCGGCGGCCTCTGGCGCAGGTGGGAGAAGGGAGTGGGCTGCGGGCAGGGTCCGCTCCTGCTCCCCCGGTAGCCCACAAACGGAGGCTGCAGGCACCACCTGCTGCCTAGGTCCTCGAGCTCACGCCTAGCTGGGGAGCGTGTGGAAACGCCTTAGGCCGAGTTGCGTTGCAAAGGGACCAGCAGCCCCAGAGCAGCCGGGGTGGGGCCCCGGAGACACCTGGCTCAGAGCCCGGAGATCTGGGGGCTTCGCGGATCCGAAGGCGCCCCACGCCAGCCTGCTCTGGACCCTCAGGCCTGACCACAGATGTGATAAGTATTTGTTGGATGATTTGAAGCAAGTTGGAGTCTGAGCCCCCCCCCCCACCTTGTGCTCCCCTCGCTCAGGGTGGAGTGCTTCGCAGAGTGCTGGGAACTCGGGTAAGGTGCCAGGAGGAAAGCGAGGAAGCCCACCGGTAGCTCCAGCTGCAGGCGACAGGGTCAAGTCCGGCAAAGTCTGGCAGGACAAAGTCCTGCAGGAGGAAGATGGAGCCTGGAATATGCAGGGCTTGAGGAAAGGAGGCACCCTGCTCTGGCCCACCCCCCAGGCACCGGAGGATGGGTGGGTGTTTCCCGAGCACTGCTTCCAGACTAATCAAGACTTTCTGCCTTTGCTGTCAGGGAGCTGGGGGTCAACCCGCTCTGCCGCCTACCCCCACCCTGTGAGCCTGGGCCAGGCGTTTGAGTGTGTCCGGTCCTCGGTGTCCACATCTCCCAGGATGAAACACCAGGACCACGAGGGCGTGGCCAGGACTCCAAGAACGAGCTGGAGGAAACCTGGCCTTTGCTGGGGCCTCACAGCACCTAGCAGTTTGGGGGGGAGGGTGAGGGGGGTTTGGGGGTGTCCCTGCGGTGCTTGTCATTTCTCTGCATTGCTTTGACACGAAGTGCTAGGTGCCCAGCCAGCCAGTGGGCAGCCAGCGCGTCTCTCTCATTCCTTCCAGCCATCCTCGCAGCCACTGCCCCACCCAGGGCGTGCTGACCCTTGCCCCTGGCCCCGACTTGGGCGGCTGCGGGCATTCAGCCATGTCTCCCGCCCTGGGTAGACAGGATGGCCGCAGGCTGCTTTGTGTGGCCTGGCTGTGCACCCACACTGTGGGCTAGGAGGTGAGGATCAGGCGAAGCTCAGCCCCCAGGGTCTGTTGATCTGTTCAGCCTCAGACCGAGGGCTGCCCCTGCTTTTCAAAAGCGTGATTTGAGTTTCTGTGACTTGCTACCACCAGGCACCTGCTGACCCACCAGCCAGGGGGTCCCCGCTTCCCCTTCTATAGGCTGGGGGCCCTTGGAAAGCCCCTTTTTCTGAGCCTCAGTTGCTGTGTGGCCACAGACAGGAACATGTCACCTTCTCATTCAGTTATTGTGAAGATGCAAAGGAAGCTGATTTCAGCCTGGCCTGAAGTGGCAGCGGCTGTGATTACCTCCCATCATCTGGGAGAGAGCAGTGGCCTGAACAACACGTGCTCCAGAAAGAGCTTTTCCCAGAACCTCTCATCCCAGAATGATCAGCGCTGTCTGAGCTCTTTTGTAATGTGAAGACATTTCAGTCCGTCAGGGCCTGCTGCAGAAACCCCAGAGAGGGGGGCAGTTGGCACGCTCCCTGAACAGCTTCCTAGACAAAGCCTCTGGGTGCGGACGGGAAGAACCTCTGATTGTTTCCTCCACCAACCCAGGCTGGTTGACCCTCGGGGCCCAAGAAACAGGCATGGTGTTGGCCTAAAGAAAAGGCGGGAAGCAAAGAGAGCGAGTTTATTAAAGGACCAGGTGGAGGACTTGAGCCCAGAAACAGCCTCCAGACAGCTCTGAGCAAGCTGCCTGGATTCTGAGGATTATATACAGCGGGAGACATGCAGCATTTCCAGGATTTCTGGAAGGGAAGTCTGGGCAGGGCCCAGGCTGCTGACGGTGTCTGTGTGGAGGAGACAAAGAGGTTGTTGAACTCTCAACATCCTGATCGATGTAGAGCCTGCTCTTCTGGGAACTGGGACTTTATTTGAGAAGGGATACTATTTGAAATTACTGATTTGTTTGGAGGAAACAGTTTCCAAAATACTGCTTTTTCATAAAGATGACATTTTTCTTGGGCTTATTTTCCTGAGAGGACCAGGCCAGCTGTAGCCTTTAGCTGGAACCAGAGAGAGTGACTGTTCACTCTGGCTGACCTGTGGATGGTCTTTCTTCCAGATTAGTTTTGAGGATGTTGGAGGTTTGGACCAGAGCTATATTTTTTAAGGGGGGGGGGCGCTTCAGATTCAGCACAGTGTAGATAGTCACATTCTAGAACCATCCAGGCTGGCTGGATCAGCCAGGAGTCTTTTGGTGGAAAGTCACAGAAACCAAATCATACTTTCAAAAACAACAACAGGCCTATGGAACTGGAAAGCTGAAGCCTGCTGGTATCTAGAGAACTAAGCTCAATTTTGTTTTTCTCCTCTGTGGCCTTTCCTGTTTTGAGTTACGCCTTCGTCTAATCCTCCCCAGCTTTAGCAATGGCAGAACTCCCAGGTAGAACTGTAGTTGGGCCAGATGGGAGCATCCCAGGTGCCTCCTGCAGACAGAAGAGGGGGGTGGAGGGGGGCTGCGGGGCAGAGCCTGGGCGGGGCTGGCTTTCCAGGAGAGCAGGGGTTTCTGGAGGCCGGCGGGGAGGCCAGCGGGAACGCCCCTGCCACTCAGAGGCAACTCCTGTGCTCCCCATGCCTTCCGCCAGCTGGCCTAAGAGTCCAGTAGGAAAGGCAGGCTGGTTGTTCAGCTGAGAAACACAAACTGGACCGAGGGCCAGCTGCCTGGCGGGGCCTTCCTTTAAGGAGAGGTTGAAAAAAATCCCAAGATTGGCTTCTCGCCTTCTGGGTGCCAGAACACGGAGTGGTGTGGAAAGTGTATAGCCGCCTTCCCCGGTGCTTGGTGCTGGTTGTGAGAATGGAGGTGGAGGGGGCAGAAATGGAGATAGGATTGGGGACGTTATGGGTTGAGGGGTGCCCGGAGAGGGGTGCTCAGTGTGCTGGAGGTGTGGCTGCTGTAGGCCGGTTGCAGATGCGCCTGCACTCATACCCCTCCAGGCAGGAAGACTCAGGCTTCAGGCTGCCTCTCGGAGTGTCCATGGAAAGGCATGCACAGATTTTAAATAAAAAAAATCACACTCAGAACAATCCTCCTTCTTGTTATACCACGTGAGGTTCTAGAAAGTGATCCACCATATACTTTTTGAAACAGTAAAAAACAAGATACAACCTATACAACATGTGATATAGCCCATCTGTGGAATATTATGCAGTCAGTAAAAAGAATAGCCTCATGGGATAGAACTTTAAAGTGGGGAATGAATAAAGCAAGTCACAGAGTCTTATGGGCAGTATGATCCTGTGGGTTATCTCCACACCCACACCCACATTGGACCTTTTGTATGGCTCCATGCCAAAGCTTTAAGATGTGGCTTGATTTTCTACCTCTTAACAAGGACAGCCACACTGCAGTTATAAAGGTGAGATGCTGTGGCTGTTAAGGTGTCCTCTTTTCAGATGTGTTCAGGTGTCTCCTGCCCACATCTCACAGTGAGAGAACTATGTGGACATGTTGATAAATGTATAAATATGTGCAAGAAAAGCTGGGGAGAGAGCAAAGCATTTAGAGCAATTCACTCTGGGAGGAGTGGAAGAACGAGGAATAGAGGTGGGTGTCCAAAGGGACTTGATTTACTTTTTCCTAAGAATATCATGTGTGCGGCAGTGAAACCAAGTCCAGGAGGGCTGCCCTGGAGGTGGACTTCAGTGTGGCTGCTGCCCACCTCTCCAGCTGCAGAGGCCATGGTGTCTCCACGCCACCTGATTGCTTCTGCCTCTCTTCTAGAACATGTCCCTCTCCCCCCCTCCTCAACCCAGTGAACTTCTCCTTGTCTTACCTCCCGGGCTCAGTGGTCAGCTCCCTCTCACCCCCAGCCCCTCCTGACAAGCTGAGCACCTTGTCTGCAGCCCCGCTCATCAGCCTCCTTCCACCCTGACTCTTTCTGCTCCACCTGGAGCAACCAGCGTAAGATCTTGAAGCTCAGTTTTCTCATCTGCAAAATGGGAATTACAGCTCCTACCTGCCTCAGAGGCCTGGGGACAGGAAAGAAACTCTTGCTCCCCCTTCAGTGCTTATAGCAGGTTGGCTAAGTCAGAGCTGTGTTCCAGCTGATGGAGGAAACGGACTTTTGGTGGACACTGTGGTTCGCTTGATAAGAAGTGAAGTTGGGATATGAATTTGCATGTTCACTTATGGACATTTAGTCTTTTAAATCTCACAGCAACACACCTTGGTCACTGTGATGATAACTAAGGGGAAACACTAACAAATGTTGAAAAAAATCCATTTCCTTACCAGACATAATGGAGCCGAGTATCTCCGAGTCTTTCTTAGAGTCTCAGAGTCACACTGACAAGGTTTGAAAATAAAGGCAGTGACATTTTCCCCTTTGGGAAATTGTTTCTGAGACTTTCTCCCTTTGCCAGAGCTTTTGAAGTGTCTGGAGAAGGATGCGTCCCAGTTCTTTCTAACAGCAGAATTATTACTTTGCTAACCACTCGGGGACCTCCTGCCCTCACGAGCATGTAGGGGCCTGGTTTTCTCTTCCTATTCTTCTTTGAATACCCTGTTAATGGAAGAGCCACGAGCAGTTTTCCTTCATGTCAACATCCTGACTTCTTCCTAGGCTTGTTCTTCCCTGACAACAAAGAGTGAGTCAAAAAGATCTCTTGCTCTTGATGAAGACATTATCTGCCAGCACTGTAACGATTATTAATCTGATTCAATGCCTTTAGCTCTCATCTGTCGAGCCCCCGTGAATCTATTGCAGAGGGTTGGAAAGTGCCACCTGCCAGAGATGTGTCCATGTCCTAGCCCCTGGGACCTGTAAGTTCAGCCTTACTTGGAAGAACATCTTTGCAGATGCATGAAGGATCTGTAGATAGGGTCATCTGGGATCAGCTGGATGGGCCCTAAACCCTGACATTTGTTCTTAGAAGAAGAGGGTTGCAGGTAAGATCACGTGAAGATGAAGGGAAGACCGGAGTGATGTAGCTACAGCCAAGGGATGTACAGCAGCTGCCAGCTGCTAGAAGAGGCCAGGAAGGACTCTCCCCTTGATTTTTTTGATTTATGGGCACCGGAACCATGAGAAAATAAATTCCTATGGCTTTTAAGCCACCTACCTTGAGGCAATTTTTTAGTGACGGAGAAAACAAGCACAACAATCTCATCCAAAGACTCCCCCTCCCCCCTTTCCATCTCATGCTTATTATGTTTCCTTACTCCCCAGTAGTCTGTGTCCTGTACGGACCCCATAGTGCAGGCACCCTGAGTGCCTGGGTGCCCTTCTGTGCCCAGGAAAGTGGGATGACCGTGAACCTGTAGCCACAGTGCAGTCTAACTGGGTTACAGCTCAGGTGCGCTGCTGTTCTCAGGTCTCAGATTAGGGCAGCCGTATCACCACACACCTTTAGTCTATTGTTATTTGGGATTTCAGGCTTCCAGCCAGGGGACCCAAACTCAGGAAGCTCTGGGGAGCTGTGCCCCAGGAGTCGGGCAAGGAGCTGGTATAAGCAAAAGGGGCGGGGTAGATCGGCTTTACGCAAATGAGGCTTTCTGTGCACGCGGGAGTGGTGGACAGTTAGGCAGTGATTGGTGGAATTCAGCCCTGGGCGTGGCTTGTGGCGAGGCTTCCTAGTTCCGTTAGCTGCACCTGCGATCTGCAAGGTGACAAGAGCAGCTTGTCAGCGGGATCTGCAAGGTGACAAGAGCAGCTTGTCAGCGGCTGATCAACTGACATTTGAGGAACGTTGTGGGTATGAAGATAGTTGAAAAACAATGAATGATGACTGTGGACAACGAGCGTTCTGGGAGGCAGTGAGCGTGGCCACTGCAGAGAACTTTTCTGAGACTTACTCATCTTTGTCCCTCCGCCAGCACTCAGCTCAGACCGACCTACACGCTCTCTATACATCTGCTGACTTCAGTAGGTGGGAAGTGAATGGGAAGGGTTCTTCCTTTCTCAGTGAGGCCCAGAGTGGTGGGATAATGTGTCCAGAGACACACAGCTTGGAAGTTCTGGGCTAGGGTGCACAGTTAAGTGGCCTTTTGGAGACAAAAGACTCCCACCCACAGCACACTCCACCCCCATCACCATCCCCACTTCCCTCTGGAAATGCACTGGATGGAAGTCATCCCCCAGGCCCCCAGGGAGCTGTGTCCAGGCACATGGTGTGGGTGCAGGCGGGCAGGGTAACCTTCCAGGCAGCACAGCCCAGGACTGCAGTCTTGGAAATTAGGCACCGAAGGCTCAGGTGTGTGCATGCCTCGGGTGCCTCAGCTTGCAGCATGAGGCTTTACAGCCTCCCCTGGGTGCCCGTCGGCCCCAGACATCTAATAGAACATCAAGTCTGCTTGCAGCTTGTCTCGGCGCTCACACACTAGGCTGCCGGGCTGTACCAGCTCCAGGAAACCTCATTAATTTCTTAATGAGAAATAATTTCATTTCTTAGCTATAGTCTGGAGGCAACGCTGTGCAGGGGACTGTTTATAGGTATCACACCAGCCTATTTATTCTTCCTTGCACAAAACTTTCTCCTTAGAAAAGGAAGGAAGGAGGGGAGGAGGGACGCATACCTGACCCTGTGTGATGGTCCTGGAGGAGACCGGTCTCTTGCCCTGCTCCCCAAGGTCGGTGGTATTTAGGGGCTGAAGACCCTCATCCTTGTTGATGGCGGAGTCGTTTATTCAGTGCCCAGCCTGCCCAATACTCCACTTTGCCTCGTTGGCTTGGCACAGACCATTTCAGTAATAACAGCATGAGCATTGCTTCATGATGCGGGTGTGGAGGTGGGGTTCTGGGGGTGTCTGTGACCTGCCACGGGCCCACAGCAGCCGAGCAGCTGGTTCTGCAGCCTGCATTTTACCCACCGTATGTGCGTGTCTCTGTGTGTTTGTCTTGGAACCACACTGCCACACTCTTATAATTAGGTGGACAAAAACCTGTCGCCACACACGAAGCCCTGCCAAGATGTAAAGGGGAGATGAGGTTGCTCGCGTCACAGAACTCACAACCTAACAGGTGAGGCAGAAGAGTGACAGATGCCGTCACCACAGGTGACGCGTGCCAGGCTCAGGTGGTCCTGAGAGGATGCAGAGAGACACCTGACCTCGGCAGAGTGGGTATGGGAGCAAGGAAGAAGTTCCTCAAAGAAATGATACTTAGCCTGCTCCGAAGGAGAAGAGGGAAGTAGCCTAGTATTTCCCTGTTTGCTTTGGCTGCTGGCAAGCTCAGTGCCACAGTGAGCGCACTAGCTCGACCTTGGTATCTCGAGACCCTAGACTCCCTCCACCCTCCTTCCCCAGAGTCTCAGGTCCGGATCTCACTGTCACCTGGTCTGGTTCTGACACTCTTGCAAAGAAAGCCATTGTGAACCCTGCGTCCCACACACAGCTGGTGCCGAGCAAGCCTCTCCCCCAGGGCTCCCACCTGACTAGCCCCCTCCCCCTTTTACCAGGTCTGGTGAGCCGACCCCCATGGTCTCCCCTCCCCTTAGTTTTTCCAGCTCGCTGAGAAGCGACCAGGCTGAGAAGCGACCAGGCCCGTGGGGCTTGTTTCACAGCCCACCAGCGGCCGAAGTCAAGGGGTGGGCGGGGCAAAGGCTGGGGGTCGCGGGGAACCTGTGCCAGGCTCCTCCCACCCCCAGGGGGCTGCGGCCACGGCGAGCCTCCAGGGGTCTGCAGAGCGGCTCCCCACCTCGGCTGCACCTCCCCCTTTCTCTCCTAAGGACGCCCTCCTCACGCGGGCTGATCTCATCTGCGGTCCCCGAACTTAACTCACCTGGAGACTCGTTCCAAACGAGGGCGCCATCACAGCGTGCCCCGTGAACGTGGGCGCTGTTCGCGGCGCGCGACGCCCCCTGCTGGCCACTCTCACTATCGCAGCCAGAAGGATGCGGGCCGAGGATGCCGTGGGGGACCCTGCCCCATCTCAGTCCCACCTTCCCGCGGGCTCTTGGCCACCTGGTCTGCTCGAGGCTCTCCGCCCCTGGCCCCCCCACCCCCCGTCTGGGAGGGCTGGGCTCTGCACCGGCTCCTCCTTCAGCCCTGCACCCCGCCCTCCCTGCCCTTGGCTTGAAGCTCTCCTACCTCCAAAGGCGCGGGGAAGCAGCAACGTGGAGCTTGTGTCACACAAGGGCTGGAGCCCACTGAGCCTCCAGAACGGTGGTTATTATCATGACACTCACGTTCCTCATCGTCGTGGGGGCAGTAACCGCACTGTTCATTGCCCCCCTCCGCTTCCCCCGCCATTCTGGTGCTGGCCAGCGGGAGGTGCTCGGTGCATGTTTGTTGACTGACTGACGGGTGTTAGTGCCCCTTCAGCTCGCTGTCCTCCTCTCTTCCAAGCCATGCACGGGACCTTTGTGATTCTGCTGCCGCTCAGCCTGATCCTGATGGTTTTTGGGGGGATGACGGGGTTTCTCAGCTTCCTCCTCCGAGCCTCCCTCCTGCTGCTGCTCACTGGGACACTCTTCCTCTTTGGAGGTAGGTGCCCACGCGGGGCTCAGGCTCCAGCAGGGCCGCGCTGGGGCCCTCGGCGGGCGGGTCCCTCTCCTCTCCGCTCCATGTCCCAATGGCGACACCACAGCTGGCGGGGACCCGATGGCGACACCACAGCTGGCGGGGAGAGGGTTCCAGCTCGGGTCCCTGGGTGTGTCGCACAAGAGACGCCCAGGGTGGGCAGTTCTGCGAGCCTCTTCATGATTTCCAAAGAAACAGGGAAGGCCTGGGGGTTCAGAGACAGGCTGAGGGGTCTGGAGGCTTTCAGGAGGGGCCAGCACGCGGGACCTGCGGGGCGGGGGAGGAGTCCCAGCCCCGGACACTGCGAGGCCGGTTTCCTGCACCGGGTCTTTCCTGGTGGCGCGAAAAGCTCCCGTGGTCCAGTCCGGACATCAGCTCTGCCCAGCGGACAGTCTGGGATGCAGAAGGGCCCTGGGCAGAAGCGGGGCTGGGCGCAGGGCCTCCGTTGGCTCCTGGCAGGGGCGGCTCATTGAAACCAATGCAGTGAGTGGCCACGGGTGGCCGTGGCCGCGGGCTGGGCAGGGTGGCTCTCAGGGTGCGTCTGTGGTGACCCCTGGGTGCTGGTGCCACTCTGGGCGCTGGAGACTCCGGGACGAGGCCCCTAGAGCTCACAGCCGCGGGGGTGGGGGTGGGGGGCAGACACATGACTTAGGGGATGCCCCAGAGAAGGGGGGATGGGCGGCGTGGGAACCGTGGTTCTTTGGGCCGCCCAGGGGTGGATGACATGTTTGGGGGCTGGGAGCTGCTGATGGGGGAGGGGAGGGGGGCCGAAGGGCCACGTGTGCAAGGTCCCGTGCTGGGAGGGGCCTGGACACCAGGAGAAGACCCGTGTGCGGGGAGGTGGAGAGCTGAAGAGAAGGAGTAGGGGAGCGGGGAGAGGGTAGGTGGGGAGGGGATGGCTGGGGGGAGGGGAGGAGCGGGAGGGAGGAGGCCGGACCGATGCTGTCCTCCCGCCCCCCAGCCCTGGTGACCCTGGCGGGCATCAGCGTGTACATCGCCTACTCGGCCGCCGCCTTCCGGGAGGCGCTGTGCCTGCTGGAGGAGAAGGCGCTCCTGGAGCAGGTGGACATCCGCTTCGGCTGGTCGCTGGCCCTGGGCTGGATCAGCTTCATCACCGAGGTGCTCACCGGCGCGGCCTTCCTGTGCGCGGCCCGCGTGCTGCGCCTGCGCGGGAGGCAGGACCAGGCCACGTGAGCCCCGCGCCACCGCGGGCGGCCGACGCCTCCCCTCCTCGCAGGCCTGGAGGCCAGGGCCCAGCCCGAGTGTTGGGGCTCACTGAGCTGAAGGCCTGACTGCCTCCTGTCTGCGCTGCCGGGGATCCATCCCGGGCTGCAGGAAACCCTAGGGAGCCAGAAACATGAAATAACAAAACAACATCATCACCATAAACAGAACTTTAAGGATTGCAACATCTGTGTGCCTCTTCTGGCTTCTTTTCATTGTTCTGGGCCCCCTGGACCACCACACCTCCTTATTGCTAGGAAGTAGAGGACCAGAGAGGTTAGGTGAGTGGCACAAAGGTGCACAGCAAGGTAGGAGCACTTTGCTCCCCAAACAGTGCTCTCGCCTTGATCGCAGCTTTGCTGAGTGGGTTGATGGCCAGCTGGCTGCACTATGATTTCTGTGTGTTCATGACACCCCACGCTAGGGGGTCCCATGGGACTTGGAGCCCAGGCAGGAGGGCACAGCGGGGTCTTTGGGGGAAGACAGCAGAGATCTGCGCTCCCCAGCAGCGGGGTGGGGAACTTTCTCCTTGAACTTAGCTGGTGCATGCGAGCAAGGTCCAGAGCCTGACCCTGCGTGGTCAGAGGCCAGTGGTCAGGGGCTTCATTCTGAAACATCAAGTAGAGCCATTGCTGAGATGGCAGCCCCACTTGAGAGTTCAGCCGTCAGAGCGCTTTGCCTGTCACTTGGTGACTGTCAGAGGCCTCCGGGGAGTGGAGGCCAGCCGGTGGCGCCAGGACTCATCAGCAAGCCGCCCCCAGAGGCAGCACCCTCAGCACCAGGGGACTTGGTCCTGCACCCAGACACTGACCTGCGCTCAGGCGCCCTCAGCTCCAGCATGACCCAGCCTTATTCTCTGGCAAGTCCACGCCTGCCTTTCTGGCAAGCCCCGAGGAGGGAGGGTTTTAGAGTAGAGCTCGTGTGCACACGGATGCGTACACCCCATGTGTGAGGAAGAGTCCCATGAGGAGCTGAGGCCGAGAGCCTGTTCCTGGGAGCCTTGATTTTAAGAAGCTCCTTGGGGAGAGCTAGCGGGTCAGTAGGTTTGGGGACCACTGGTGTGGGTCGTGAGACGTCAGCGCCATTGTCAGTCATGACATCCTCATCCTCACTGATCCTCATCAAAACTGACAGGGTCACGTACAATGGCACTATTTTACATGCCGATCGGCCATTCAACAAACACCCGCTGAAGCCACGATGCTGGGAAGGGGGGCTCGAGCCCCCAGGCAAGCTTTGCCCTCAGAGCTGGGAGAACAGCCTGCAAACGGACCTAGGGGAGGGGCATGGTGGTGTAAATGAGGCAGGGAGCCGATGAGGAAATCAGGCAGGTGACACAGGCAGGTGAAGGTAATGGGCCTGAGGGCGAGGCGAGAAAGGAGTTCAGCCAGCAGGAAATTCAGAAATGCCTGGTGGCGAGATGACTTTCTACTCTGGTGACCACCCTCCACCCGGCCTCCTGGCTGCGTGGCGTCAGGGTGTTGCTGCTGCTCCATCCCTTTCTTTGAAATCTGGAAAAGTGCAATCAAGGTCAACTACTCACAGGCTCCACCCGGCGCCTGAGGAGCTGCAAGCAAATCCAGTTACCAGGCGGGAGGAAAGAACTGACATTTTCGCAAAGCGAGCGCAACCGTGCGAGCGAGAGGTGGTCTCTGCTGCCACCTGCTGGCCGTCTGGCAGAACTGCCTTGGCGGACCGACTGGGTCCCCAAGCCAGTCCCTGTCCCAGCCTCCGGAAGGCCCGCTGTGGGGTCAAAGTTGCAGGGCAGAGGGGTCTCAACTGGGGCGGCTCACCACCCTCTCCCCACTCTTGGCATCTCTGGAGACCCATTGCTGGTTCATGCTGGTGGGGGTGGGGGGCGTGGAGGCCGGAGGTGCTGGCCCTCAGGACACAGGACACAGGACACAGGCTTGCCCCATCCCACCCGGCGGGTGCCGCCACTGAAGAGGCCTGCCAGAGGCACCGCTGTGGGTACTAGAAAGGCCCGTGTGTCCTCAGGAGCTGATGATGCACCGAGAAGAAACTCGTTCACTTCGGAGGCTGTGACGTTGGGTCTCCCTCTGGCCTGGGGGGACCTGGGCATGCCTTTGCTTCCAGATCTGGGCTGCCTGCGAGGCTAGGCGCGGAGGCTGGGGATGCGGGGAAGGGAACCGGTACCCCAGAGTCTGAGGAGCCTCCACGGGCACAGACTGCAGGGCGGGACCCCTGAACGCAGACCCTGCTGCTGCCCAGGAGCGCCTTTGCTAGTTGGGGGCAGTACTGGCACCTCCT